TCTCACTTCCTAAACACGTGTAGCAAGGAACTGGCCTGCCCCATTGTGTCTACCATTATGAAAACATGTGGCTGTATCTAGATGGCATTTATGATGGTTTCCTAAACATAAGTCCCGTCTGGAAAACAAGGCGAATGATACAGAAATTTCAGTCAGAAGGGAGGAGGACAGGAAGAATAGAGAGATAAAGAAGGGCTGGCCATACAACAGCCAGTGTGAAATAAAGGAAGGGAGGCGCAGAGAACACCTGTCTGCTGGGGAAGCAAACGCTGCAGCTCAGGGACTGGGAGTGGGGCCGGGGGAGGGGCAACGGGGACTTCCGGACAAAAAGGAGCCTGGCGCTGGGGGCGAGGTTAGTCTGGGTTGGAAACAATTAGGCAAGACTTTGTCTAGGGGATGTGTGCCAGTGAAGGCAGGCAGGAGTTTAGGAGAAGGGGTGGAGTTAGGGGATTTGGGGAAGTATGATGAAAGAGGGCTTGGAGGTGGTAAGAATGGAGCTGGCTGGCCTGCGCTGTGGCTCACTAGGCTAATCCTCCACCTTGCGGTGCCAGCACACCGGGTTCTAGTCCCGGTCGGGGCGCCGGATTCTGTCCCGGTTGCCCCTCTTCCAGGCCAGCTCTCTGCTGTGGCCCAGGAGTGCAGTGGAGGATGGCCCAAGTGCTTGGGCCCTGCACCCCATGGGAGACCAGAAGGAAGCACCTGGCTCCTGCCATCGGATCAGCGTGGTGCACCAGCCGTGGCGGCCATTGGAGGGTGAACCAATGGCAAAGGAAGACCTTTTTCTCTGTCTCTCTCTCACTGTCCACTCTGCCTGTCAAAAAAAAAAAAAAAAAAATGAATGGAGCTGGCTGCCAGTCTGAAGGAGGGCGATCCGTGGAGATGAGCTGTGTGCAGAGCAAAGGGAGCCGGAGCGAGGCTGCTGGCATGGAACCTGGGCTTTGGAGGTCCCCGAGGAGCGAGGGAGGAGAGTCTGGGTGTGCACGGGAAATCTGAGCCTCCGGCTGTCCAGAAGGAGGCTGTGCTGAGCCAGGACAGCGCTTCCGGGACCAGAGAAGAGACATAGAAATGGAAACAAATGCTGCTCTTCCGTGTGCCTCTGAAAGGTGGCCTTGGACGCCTTCTGTTTTAAGTGTCATCTGTAACAGCCACAGCGTGGGCCGTTTTATGATCCGAATTTCCTTCGGTTAGACTGTCAGAGTGTTTCTTGTTTATGTTCTGAGCGTGCGGTACTGAAAGCCCTGTGGTTAAATCTTTGCTCACAAGAATTTCCCTAAGAGAAATTATGGGGGAAAACAGAATAGGTACGGGGAGGGAAATGCCAGCAGAAAGACTATAAACAATGATAGCCTTTCAGGTATTCATTTTTCAGTGTCCCTTTTAACCTCTTCTTGCAAATTTATGATGGTGTCAGCTTCCCCATGTCTTAATTAACACTGGGAATTATGGACAGGTTTAATTAATTGCATCTTAAAGAGAAAAGACATCTCCCTTTAAGAGGTGACAGGAAGACTACAGGTGCATGGAAATCCAGTGGGATTATGGCTAACTAAGTTCATGCTGCCTCCTGGTGGTACCCAAATAGCCAACAAGAAAACACCAAGGCCAACTAAAAAGAGATGACTTGAACAAGTCATCCATATTAATTTTTTTAGAGTTAAAATTGTAGAAAGTGGGTAGAAAAAACATAGAAAAAGTGGATTTGACTTTAGGGTACTGGAAGCCCTGAGAACTAGAGGGAAAATATTTCTGCGCACAGGGAGCATGTGGTGTGATGTGCACAGTGCACCCAGGAGAGAATTAAACTGAGTGATACCAAGAGAACATAAGCATTTCACGGGCCGGCTCTGCCGAGAGCCCACGCCTAGCTTTCCTGAAGTGGCTACGGGATGACTATACCTTACGTATTTAAAATCTGTTTCTCCTACAAGACCGTGGGGGCACAGAGAGGCTAAGTGGGTTTGCCAGTGTCACCCCATGGTCGTATGGGGCCATGGCTTTGCTGAAATAACACCTGCAATGGGGGTATGTGGCAAAGCAGTTTGTGTGTGTGTATGTGCGCGTGGGCTGTTTCTGTGTGCAAAACACGTTGCCCCTAAAAATAAAGCAGGAAAGGGAAGGGCAGAGCTGAAGAGACAGTCTGTCTTACAGGAGCTGCTCATCTCACACTTTTTTCAGCATTGTAGCTCCTGCTTTGTTGACCTGTTCCTGGATAATCTCGTCCATTCCCACAATTGCAAAATGTCACCTGCACAGGAATTCATGTGCTCATCTGATCTTTCACTTAAATTCACAGTGGATGTACTCAGGATTGTTTTTTCTGAGGCTTGATATTGGAGAAACAGATGTCAGGTAATCCCATCAGCAAATATGTTTACAGATTATGATGGGAAAATAGCTCAGGGTATTAGCAGAACGTATGCTGACCCAGAAGCTGTTTTGCTCTCATTCTCCTAATGCCCTCATATCTCTGACTGGTTGATAAATTGAAGATTTACTAGATTCCTTATGTTAAAATTAGAGATTACCTGGCTTGAAAAATGATTTCCTGCCAGGCTACTGTAATTATTTTCTTAAATTCTGGTAAGTTTAACAAAAAGCCTTCATAAAAAATTATCTATGGGGCCCGCGCCATGGCGCAGTGGGTTAAAGCCCTGGCCTGAGGCACTGACAATCCCATATGGGCGCTGGTTCTAGTCCCGGTTGCTCCTCTTCTGATCCAGCTCTCTGCTGTGGCCTGTGGCGGTTGTGGCCTTCTGGGGAGTGAACCAGCAGATGGAAGACCTCTCTCTGTCTCTGTCTCTACCTTTCTCTCTAAGTCTGTCTTTCAAATAAATAAAATAAATCTTTAAAAAAAATTACCTATGGGTTGGGCATTGTGGCTCAGCAGGTAAAGTCACCTCTTGGGATGCCTGCATCCCCTGTCAGACTGCCTGGGGTGGAGTCCTCCTCCACTTCTGACCCAGCTTGTTGCTAATGTGAACCCTGGGAGTCACAGGCGATGGTGCAAGTACTTGTGTTCCAGACAATCATGTGAGGGACCTGGGCGAGTTCCAGGCTCCTGGCTTCAGGCCTGCCTTGCCCCAGCTGTTTCAGTCATTTGGGAAGTGAACTAGAGGATAGAGAATCTCTCCCTCTCTGTCACTGTGCCTTTCAAATATATAAACAAATAAATCACTTACAATTACCAAAATATATGTGTTATTCTTTCACTTAGATGTGCCTGACTTAAATACACTCAGAAAGTGAACTGTTATTTTCAATGTAACTTTTTAAAGCCTTTTTTTCATTTTTCATCGAGGTATAATATGCATACATTAAACTGCACTTGTCTTTGTTGTACACATAAATTAACTTCTAGATACTGGTGGCATTTAGATTTTTACTTTATGAGGTGTTTGTTTCTAAAAAACCACTGGAGTTTGTAGTCTAGATGACATAAACACTTCAGCTTTAAACTTCCTGCCTGAATTTTTGAGTTTGTTCTAGCAGAACTTTCCCATGGGTTACTGTATTCGTTAACACATCAAAGAGGGGCAGGCATTAGCCTAGTCACTAAGACATCAGCCAAGGCACCCACATCCTAGGGTTGGAGACTCGGCTCTGGCTCCCAACTCCAGCTTCCTGCCAGTGCAGGCACTAGGAGGCAGGGGTATTGGCTCAATGGATTGGATTCTTAACCACTCCCATGGGAGATCCGAATTGAGTTCCTAGTGTAGAGTCCGAATTTCCCAATCAATGCACAAGGCACAGTCAGAGGTTTATTTGTTACCAGCCGGCTGGGAACCCCTACCCGCACACAGCCCTTTAGCAGTGCACAGGCAAAAGGCCCTCTGGTTTGCATAAGAGAGGTTTTATAGCCTCATACTTACAAGGGTGCACGTCATCTCGTGCTTAGGTTACCTTCTTACTCTCTATATGGCAAAGTATTAGGTCCTGACATGTCCATTGGTTCATTTAAACGTAAAGACTATATACGTTATGTGGTGGGAAGGCTACACAAAGGAGATGGCGTGGGGAGGCACTGGCAGGAAGCATTGGGCCATGAATTTCAGGGGAGCTGGTGGGGAGCAGGAGGTCATAAATCCCAGGGGAGCACACTTTCGTTGTTCTCAAGGACCCGGCCTGCCTTCCTGGCTGGTCTAGGATGAGGCCTATCATAACCCTACAGCAGGCAAGCAAGCAAAACCGGCATTTAGCAAGTTAGGGACTCCAACTCCTACACTAGCTCCTGGCTTCATCCTGTCCTAGCCCTAGCCCTGGTCATAGGCATCTGGGGTGTGAACCAACAGAGGGAACTCTGTGCCTGGCTCTCTCTTCTTCTCAAAATAAATCAATAAATGAACTTGTCAAATAGATGAAAGAATGCCTTTATTAAAGGTTGCTGATAAAAACAGAATTCCTCGTTAAATTTGAATTTTAGAAACAAATAATGTTTTAATATTTTATTATATTTGTGGTTTACTTATACTAAAAACTTGTTGTTTATCTAAAATTAAAATTTAACTTGGTTCCTGTATTTTACTTGCCAAATTTGGCAATCCTTGTTCAAATCCCCAGTGTGTCTAATTATTAACAGTCCACTATGCACCAAACACTGCACTTCTAAAGCTGTGCCTTGCTGCTCACAGAACGTGAGTGCTGTGACACAAGGGGGCCACAAAAGGAAGCTTCACTCGTGCTGATATTTTGAGCTGCTGCCTATTTTTCTGGGGTTCAAAGGGAATTTATACTCCAGGAGAATGAATAGCCATAAATAAATGTAATGCAGACACAATGTTTATTTTATAAATTAGAAATAATGCCACAGGGAAAGGAAAGGAGAAAAGAACCAACCAGTTGCATGGGGCTTTTGGTGGCTTGGTTTGTATGCAGATCTATAGTGGAAAGAGTAAACACAAAAGGTGAGGATTTGGAGACTGTGTGCCCATGTACCACCCGAGGAAGTCGCTGGGCGTTTCCAAATGTAGAGCTCCAGTCTGTACTGCTCACCCAGGGCTCGGGAGGCCTCTCGGAGGAAACGACATTGAAGTTAGGCCTGCAGAATGGGCTTGAGTCATGTGACCTCTAGTGGCGCGGAGCTCATCTCCCCCAAGGGCATCTCAAGTAAACATTGGAAAACATTTTCCTAAGTTTGGGGAAAGGAAAAAGCAAGTTCTAAAGGATCTTTGCCCTTTCTGTACCCTAAAGATTAAGATTAAAAAAGGCATGGAGTTTGGAATACAGGGAAACCATATAAAACTAGTAGAATGCATTATAAAAGATTCTGTGGCTAAGATACTTATAGAAAAACTTAAAAATTACATAAAATTTCTATAAAGCAAAGTTGGACTGGCTGACCCTAAAGACTATCTCTCCATGCTTAGATAACTTTTCGCTAATGAACATAAAGATAACTTTTTAAATTTTTTTTTTATTTTTTGACAGGCAGAGTGGACAGTGAGAGAGAGAGACAGAGAGAAAGGTCTTCCTTTTGCTGTTGGTTCACCCTCTAATGGCCGCTGCGGCCGGTGTGCTGCGGCCGATGCACCGCGCTGATCCAATGGCAGGAGCCAGGTGCTTTTCCTGGTCTCCCATGGGGTGCAGGGCTCAAGCACTTGGGCCATCCTTCACTGCACTCCCTGGCCACAGCAGAGAGCTGGCCTGGAAGAGGGGCAACCGGGACGGAATCCGGCGCCCCGACCGGGACTAGAACCCGGTGTGCTGGCGCCGCAAGGCAGAGGATTAGCCTAGTAAGCCATGGCGCCGGCCCATAAAGATAACATTTAATTGAAAATAGAGATTGATAGGGCTATTATAATATTCCAGTAAATATTTAGTCTCACTATTGGTATAACAAAGCATATTCAGTTAATCATTTTTATGTTTTTAAATGTAAATAGTATATTATAAAAATAAGTATTTTAGGGGCTGGCACCATGGTGCAGTAGGTTAATCCTGGCACCAGCATCTCAAATGGGCGCTGGTTCTAGTCCCGGCTGCTCCTCTTCCAATCCAGCTCTCTGCTATGGCATGGGAGGGCAGTGGAAGATGGCCCAAGTCCTTGGGCTCCTGCACCCGCACGGGAGACTGGGGAGAAGCTCCTGGCTCCTGGCTTCAGATCGGTGCTGCTCCTACTGTTGCAGCCATCTGGGGAGTGAACCAACAGATGGAAGACCTCTCTGTCTCTCCCTCTCACTGTCTGTAACTCTACCTTTCAAATAAATAAATAAAATCTCTAAAAAAATAAAAATAAAAAATAAGTATTTTATGAATTGGGAAGCCCCCTTTATCCTCTTTATACTGTATTGCTGGTTAATATATGTTCTTAGATTATTATTGTAAGAAAAAAGGAATAGGGACAATTACTTGTAATCAGCCAATCTATTATTTGTAGCTTGTTGAACAAGGTTTTTGTTTTTAAGGGGCAATCAGCATTTTCAAGTAATTTACATTCCTCAAAACAGAATCTGAAGAACCTGAAAAAATAAGCAAACAAAACAGGCATGCTAATCCTGCAGGCTGTTGGCTGATCGAAAAGACCACTGTTCATCACGTGGCAGTTAGAAGAAAGAACATGATATTTGGGAGGAAATGACTACACTTGAAAGAACAGATTTTTTTCAGAGAGGTAATGTTGTATAATGAGTTCTAAGTTTGTGGATTTATAGCAGATCAGGTTGAATTCAAGACTGTGTCTCCTAGATTTATGATACATGGCAAATCATTTGACTTACTCAAATGTTAGTGCTTCATTTAATTGAGGGTAATAAAAATATATGCCAAACATGATGACTTCAGAATAAATGACATGCAGGCAAAGTGTTTCACTAAGAACAAATACTCAGTAACAAATGCTATAATATAAATTATTATTATCTTAAAAATAAATAATGTTCTTAGGGACTAGCAACAAAAAAGCATGTAAATTTGTGTGTGTCTGTGCTTGTATGTGTGATAGAAATGAAATTAAAATTTCCCAAAGTATTGTATAAGCAGAGGCCAAGAATACTGATTAATTTTAGAATTTTTTTCAGTTACATAAGTATCAACAACTACAGGGTGACAACCAAAAGATAGTATCAGAGTGAATAACCTCTCAAGTGATAAAGAAGAAAACGGCATTTTGATAGGGAATGCAGGGAGGGAACTGGAGGTAAAAAAATTCAGTCATTCCAGGAGAAAGCATTAATCGAGAAACCTGGGAAAAGCAGCACAAACTTAGCATATAAAACAAGCTGATGGAAATGAATCACAAAATATCAGAAATCATAATCAACATCAATGAAGCAAAGGTAAATAGAATCTTCTGAAACTGTGTAAAAAATGAATAGAGAAACAGCATTGTGTCACATGCTGTTTACAAGATACTCAAACAGGAACACAGAGAAGATAAATAGAAAACGATATGCCAAGCAAATAGAAACTGGTATGATTAAATCAGTATCAGGTAAAATACTTTAATCAACAATTTTCTGGACATGAATAAGGTTATTACAAATTGAAAATGATAAATTCAGCAGGAAGAAGTGTTAAATCTTTATGTATGTTAGAAAATAGATTCCAAATACAGAAAAAGAAAAATTGGCAGGCTTACAAGAAGTTGGAAAAATAATTTTCTGTAACTGATAAGGCTGACAAAAACATCAATAAGGATATAGAACATTTGGACACAATTTAAAGAAATGACCTAATGGAAATATATTTAAAAATGACTAGGTACTAAGCCATGAAGCCAGTATCAAGAATTTTTAAGTAATTGACCTCATAAAATAGACTACAATGCAATTAAACCAAGTAAGTTACAAATGAATATCAAAAGGCTGACAGTACACCCTCATATAGTTGAAGTCAGCAAAAATTCTGCTTGTCACATAGATCCCAAAAGAAATCTCAACAGGAATTAGGGAGATTTTAAACTAAATGATAAAGACATTATGCCACAAAAAAAGAGGAATATAATGAAAGCAGTATCCAAAAGGAAATTCATAGCTTAAGTATGTATTTATATATATTTTAACAATTTATTTAATTATTTGAAAGGCAGAGTTAAAGAGAGGCAGAGGCAGAGAGAGAGAGATCGATCCATCTTCCATCCACTTTTCACTCCCCAAATGGCTGCAATGGCTGGAGCTGGGCTGATCAAAGCCAGGAGTTTCTTCTGGGTCTGCCACGCGGGTGCAGGGGCCCAAGGACTTGGACCATCTTCTACTGCTTTCCCAGGCCACAGCAGAGAGCTGGATCAGAAGGGGAGCAGCTGGGACTTAAACCAGTGTCCATGTGGGATGCCGGCACTGCAGGCGGTAGGTAGCTTTACCCGCTAAGCCACAGCGCCGGCCCCAAGTATATTTTCAAAAAAAAGAAGAAAGGCTAAAAATCAAGACACTTGACATCCAACCAAAGACGATGAAAATAAGTAATCGAGTAAACTCAATGAAACAAAGATAGGGAATACAGATAAGGGAAGAAAGGTGACATGGATAATAATAACAATTAAAAAAGTTGTAGAAACAACGAAGAAGACGTCAAAAATAAAAAAGATAAAACAGATAAGAGAAGGAAAGGCCAAAATACAGATTTAAAAATAACATGATTATATTATAGAACTACACATTTAAGAAGTTAAAAAACAGGGAAAATAGGATAAACTGATAGAAAAACACAAAATGACACCACTTGTGCAAGAAAAATTGGCTACGCCTGTGAGCATGCACGAACACAGCAGGCAGAATCCTGCATCCAGATGACTTGAGGCTAGAGACGGCAGTTTTTCAGTGGCCTGTTAATTCCTGTGTTATACAGATTACTACGGAATACAGGAAAAAGCTGTGAGAATTGTACCGGAAAAAATTGTGAGAATTGTGCAGAGGCTCTTGTCATTTTCAAAACAACTTCTTCCTCTGTAATTAATTTCGGGTTGAAAGGAAAGTGCAAGAGTGAAGAGCAGGTTGTTCTGCCTCCCCTTGATTTGAGTGAACTGCTGATGCCGGGCCCAATTACCTCGCCACGTCCTGGTCCCTTTCCTGCGGATGGGGACTTTTCCCTGCATACGAAACGCCTCTGGGGTGGAGGAATGATGACCACGCAGCAGCATCATCTCATGCAAGCCCCAGTTAGAGAAGCTCCAAATCAGAGAGGCAGGATGGAACGCAGTAACGGACAAGCGCACAAACCCCTGATTAGCGTTCTGCACACAGCTGTTCCTGTCTTTCACTCGTTTCCGCGGGGCAGCCGGGTTTCTTGCCAGGGCAGACACTCGGCGGGACTGTCTGGGCGTCTGCAGCGCTTGCTCAGCCACCGAAGTGGGGCGACCCTGCCCCACCGTGTCCCACCCCGTGGCAGGCTCCGCAGGCCCTGCGGTCCCGAGAGACAGGGCCTCCTGCAGCTCGGCCCACCTGCAGCTCGGCCTTTCCCCAGCCCTGGGCCCTGCAGGGCGCCGCGGGCCTCGGGCAGGCAGGGCGCGTGCGGCCCCACAGCTGCGGCCTCGTGCCCCGCACGCGGCGGCCCGCGCTGTGCACGCGCCTGGCGGGCGCGCCGAGGGCTCACAAAGGCGGCGCGCAGCCGCTGCCTCTCCGCCGTCGCCATCTTGGGCTCCTTGCCGCTGGAGGAAGGAACTGGGCGCTGAAGGTGAGCGCAGCTCTCCGCGGTCCTGGTCAGCTCGCCCCGGGCGCTGAGGGTTTCCTTGGTGCCCGCACCCCCTTTTCCACCTGCGCCCGCAGCAGCTTTGCCTGCCGTCCGGCGGGATCCTCTGCTCCCCTCAGCCCCGGTGGGGCCCTACCTCTAATGGCGGCCGCAGTGGCCGGACCTCGGCGTGGGGGCCGCCGGCTCTGCCTGTCCCGGGCCCCTGGAGACCTGCAGTCGGCGTGTGGGGGGTGCTCTCCGGGAGTTTATTTCTGATAAGTCACTTCATTGTGGACCACGCTATTACGTATTTGTCGTTCACGTATTTGCAGACACACCCGTATATGTATCCCTTTTGGGATTAAAAGGTATCCTTTTGCAGCACATCTGCTAACGCAGGTCAGTGAATCTCTCTTTTTCCAGTCCCGCCTTCCCGATCTATTTGTTAAACGCGCGCCCTTCACACCCTCTGCCTCTGTGTGCGTGCACACACACGTTCTTGTACAGATACGGAATGCCATTTTATTTTTTCATTAACATCATTCCGTAGGTCCCCTACCCAACTAACAGGAGTCTTGGGTCCTATTCCTCAGAGCCAATACAAATACATTCACACTATTTTTTTTATTAGTGATTTCAAATAGTAAAATAGATGCCCTATAAAACTTACTCTACTATCCCACAATTAAAAAATTCTCGAGTTGTGTGTTTTCCAGTGTTGCTATGTACAAAGAAGGTTTAAGTTGCACCTATTTAAGTGTGTAACTGACGCTTCACAACCATGAAACCACTGTAATGAAAATAATAAAACATATCAATGCCTCGCTCCCCCTCCCATTGTTCCTTTTGATGCCATTGTCTCCCCCTCCCTTTCTCCACACAGGAAACCCAGTCTGCTTTCTGAAACTGTAGATTAGTTTGCGTTTTCTAGAATTTTTATGTGTGGAACCATTCAGTGCTTGTTTGTGTATTCTCTTTCATTCAGCATGATTATTTTGAAAATCACCTGTGTTGTGCATATGACTATTATTCCTATTTAATGATTAAATAGTTTGCATTTAATGCTCTACAACTGTTGTATGTTTCCATTGTTGTTGTGTTGAAGGACATTTGGTTGCTCGTTTTTTGGCTGTTACCTGTATGAATAAAGCTGCTACAAGTAGGCTCCTGCAAGTGTTTTGCATGGACATCTGCTTTCTCTTCTGGGTAAATACCTAGGAGTGGATTGGCTAGGTCATCTGGAAGGTATATTTGTGTATTTAACCTTTTTATTTTCCCCCTAAAGATTTATTTGAAAGGCAGGGTGTGAGAGATGTCTGTCCATCTAATGATTCACTCCTCAAATATCCACAAAAGCTGGTGCTAGGTCAAGCCAAAGCCAAAAGCCGGGAACTCTGTTCTGGGTCCCTCGTGTGGGTGGCAGGGGCACGGGTGCTTGGGCCATCATCTGATGCTCTGTATTTATTGTTTTAAAAAGCCACCAGATCGTTTTCTAAAGTGGTTGTACCATTTTATAGTTCCATCTGCAGTCTGTCATTTACATAACTTCACAATGCTTGTTATGGCTACCCTTTCTAGTCATTCTAGTGTTACCTTGATGTGAATAAATTTGTATTTCCCTAAGGATGTGGTGAGGAGCATCCTTTTCATGCACCAACTTCCCATCCGTGTATCTTTGTTGAAATGACTGCTGAATCTTTTGCCCATTTTAAAATTTGTCTTGTTGAATTTCAGAAATTCTTTATGCATTTTAGAGATGGAATTTAGGTTAACTACATGTTTTGCAAGTATTTTCTCACTGTCTGGTGGCTGGCCTTTTAACTTTTAAAAACCTATCTTTTGAAGAGCAGAGGCTTTTAATTTGATGACCTTCAATATATTAATTTTTTGAGAGCCTGAATTTTTGTCTTAAGAAATCTTAACAATAACTGATACTTTCTCTTTTTTCCTAGAAGCTTGATATAGTTAAGTCTTAAATACAGGTCTGTTATCTACTTAAAATTAATTTTTGTCTGTAATTTGTAATCATTTTGTTTTGCTTTATGCATATGGCAATCCAACTGTTATGGCATCATTTGTTAAATTGAATGGCTGTTTGGTTGAAGATCACTTAATCTTTTATTGATCTTAATATATGTAGATCTTCTTTCTGGATTCTAGTGAATTGTTTCCATGACAGAACCACAGAGTCTTCAGTTATGTAACTTTATAATTATATAGTCTTAAGGTAATGTAAATCCTCTTTGTAATTTTGTTTTATCTAGACTGTTCATTTGGATTTTTTTCTGTTTAAAGATTGATTTATTTCTTTGAAAGGCAGAGTGATCGGGAGAAACAGACGGAGAGTTTCTATCTGGCTTATCCCCCAAATGGCTGCAACAAGTCAGGGCTGGGCCAGGGTTACTGCAGGTCGACGGCAGAGGCAGAAACTCCATCCTGGTCTCCCATATGGGTCACAAAGGCCCACGTAATTGGGGCACCTTCTGCTGCCTTCCCAGATGCATTAGCAGAAAACTGGGTGAGAAGCAGAGCGCTGAGCAGCAGGGACTGGGCTGGTAAAGGCAGTGGCTTAACCCGCTGTGCTGCAATGGCAGCCACTATTTGCATTTTTATATTGTATTCAGAATAAATGTTTCTACCAAAAGGTGTTACAGAATTTTGATTGTGATTGTGTCAGTTTATAGATGAATTTTGGGAAAACTGAAACCTTAAATACTGAGTGACATGGAATCAACCTAAATACCCATCAACAGAAGACTGGGTAAAGAAATTATGGGACATGTACTCTATAGAATACTATACAGCAGTAAAAAAAAAAAAAGAAATGCGATCATTTGCAACAAAATGGAGGAATCTGGAAAACATGCTGAGTGAAATAAGCCAGTTCCAAAGGGACAAATATCATATGTTCTCCCTGATCGGTGACAACTAACTGAGCACCTAAAAGGAAACCTGTTGAAGGGAAATGGACACTAGGAGAAACAATGACTTGATCAGCCCTTGTCCTGACTGTTGATGAACAACTAAATACTTTATCCCTTTTAGTATTTTTTGTTCTACTTAATACCATTGGTTAAACTCTTAAATTAACACACAGTTATTCCTAGGTGTTGAAATTTAACTGAAAAGTGATCCCCGTTATATATGAGTGGGAATAAGAGGGAGGAGATGTACAGTTCAGCACATGCTCACTCAGACTTACCCCTAATGGTAGAGTTAGAAATGTGCCAGGGGATTCCGATTCAATCCCATCAAGGTGGCATGTACCAATGCTATCTTAGCAGTCAAAGTGATCAGTTTAAGTTCATAATTGATCATAATGATAGGATTAAGTGTCAAAGGGATCACATAAAAAAGACTGGTGTCTGCTAATACTGATAGAATTAAAAAGGAGAGAATGATCCAACATGGGAAGTGGGATACACAGCAGACTCATGGAATGGCAGATGTCCTAAACAGCACTCTGGCCGCAGAATCAGCCCTTGGGGCATTCAGATCTGGCTAAAAAGCCCATGAGAGTATTTTAGGCATGGAAAGCCAAGACACTGTAGCCAAAAAACAAACAAACAAAAATGACCTATATGAAAGATCTCTGTGAGATACTAGCGGAAAGAACAGGCTATCAAAGAAGGAGGTGCCTTTTTCTGAAGGGAGGAGAGAACTTCCACTTTGACTATGGCCTTGTCTAAATAAGATCGGAGCTGGCAAACTCAAGAGGCTTCCATAGCCTTGGCAGCTCATGACAAGAGCCTCAGGTGATTACTGACCTCATAAATAAGGGTGTCAATTGTTAACAGGAGTCACTGTGCACTTACTCCCCATGTAGGATCTCTGTCCTTAATGTGTTGTACTATGTGAATTAATAGTATAACTAGTGCTCAGACAGCACTTTGTGTGTCTGTGGGTGCAAACTGTTGAAATCTTAGTATATACTAAATTGATCTTCTATATATAATTGAAAATGAATCTTGATGTGAATGGGATGGGAGAGGGAGTGGGAAATGGGATGGTTGTGGGTGGGAGGGAGGTTATGGGGGGAAAAAGCCGCTATAATCCAAAAGTTGTACTTTGGAAATTTATTAAAAGTTAAAAAAAATACTGGGTTTCTATTCATTTAGGACATCTGTTTTTTTGGAGGTGGCAGTTTATTCTATAAACAGTATTGGAATAAGCATATTATAGCATATATCCATATATTCATAAAACAGATTAACAAAATGAGATTGCTATATTAAAAGTTGAGAGGATTTTTTTTTTTAAAGATTTTATTTGAGAGGTAGAGTTAGAGACGGAAAATGGGGTAGAGACAGGTCTCTTATCCACTGGTTCACTCCCCAAATGGCCACAATAGCCAAAGCTGGGCCACTCTGAAGCTAGGAGCCAGAATCTTCTTCCTGCTCTTCCATGTGGGTGCAGGGGCCCAAGCACTTGGGCCATCTTCCACTGCATTTCCCAGGCCACAAGCAGAGAGCTGGATCAGAAGAGCAACTAGGACAAGAACCAGAGCTTACATGGGAGGCCTGCACTGCAGGTGGAGGCTTAACCTACTGCGCCACTGCCCCGGCCCCAGTTGTGAGGATTTTAACATTTAATGGATTTTGTAAGTTTATACAGCAAAAATACCATGTTTATTCTGATAGTTAAAAAGAGTTTAAAACTCAGGCCGGCGCCGTGGCTCAATAGGCTAATCCTCCACCTTGCGGTGCCAGCACACCGGGTTCTAGTCCCGGTCGGGGCGCCGGATTCTGTCCCGGTTGCCCCTCTTCCAGGCCAGCTCTCTGCTATGGCCAGGGAGTGCAGTGGAGGATGGCCCAGGTGCTTGGGCCCTGCAGCCCATGGGAGACCAGGAAAAGCACCTGGATCCTGGCTCCTGCCATCGGATCAGCGCGGTGCGCCGGCTGCAGCGGCGGCCATTGGAGGGTGAACCAACGGCGCAGGAAGACCTTTCTCTCTCTGTCTCTCTCTCTCACTGTCCACTCTGCCTGTCAAAAAAAAAAAAAAAAAAAAAGAGTTTAAAACTCATTCTCCAGGGGCTGGTGCTGTGGCATACTAGGCTAAGCCTCTGCCTGTAGCACCGACATCTCACGTGGGTGCTGGTTTGCATTCTGGCTGCTTCTCTTCAGATCCAGCTCTCTGCTTGTGGCCTGGGAAAGCAGTGGAAGATGGCCCACATGCCTCGGATTGGCCCTGCTCTGGCCACCGTGACCATTTGGGGAGTGAACAAAGGATGGAAGGAAGACTCCTCTTTCTGTAACTTTGCTCTCAAATAAAGTCTTGAAAACCCTCACTCTCCAGATCCTTATTTTGTTCTGGACGTAATCATTCTACTGTATTTCTGACTAATGCAGTAACTGAAAGAGCGGTTAGCATTATTTTTGTTTTTCTTGTCTGTGATAGTGATAGAACTTTTTCTTGTATTAAGGATACTTTTTGTCTCTATTGCATGTTATAGCTTTTTAAAAATTAGTCTTCATGTGCTATTTATACCTAGAAATTTTAATATGCATGGGTTTCTGTTTGCATCAGATCATCTACCTTACTTCTGAAACATTGCCAATGTTTTTCTCTATTTCCCCTTAATTTTATGGCATTTTGAAAACAATTTAGTTCAGCTTCTTATTTCACAGAGGAAAAAAATATGAAAACTTCAAAATAGAAAAATCAGAAAGCAGGTAGAAAATCACTTTTAGTGGCAGTCTTCACTAGAATACTGGCAAGAGTTTCTCAGAGCGATTTTAAGAGTGTGGTTCTGAAATCCTGTCACAAAGTTAAAATTTTGTATACCAGATTTTAGTCAAAAATTTTAAAGCAGGTAAAATAATAGCCCTTTGTATTAATAGCTCTGTCATAATTGTAATGCTTTACATTTTTAGAAGATTTTCAGTACATTAGTTTAACTGAACTTTATAATAACTTTATAATTTTTCCAAATCACAAAACTGAAAATCAGAAAGATTCGGCAAGCTGAACTCAGATTTTCTAATTATCAGGTCTTTTTTTTTTTGACAGGCAGAGTGAATAGAGAGAAAAGTCTTCCTTTTGCCGTTGGTTCACCCTCCAATGGCTGCTGCAGCAGGCGCACCATGCTGATCCGATGGCAGGAGCCAGGTGTTTCTCCTGGTCTCCCATGGGGTGCAGGGCCCAGGCACTTGGGCCATCCTCCACTGCACTCCCTGGCCACAGCAGAGAGCTGGCCTGGAAGAGGGGCAATGGGGACAGAATCTGGCGCCCCGACCGGGACTAAATCCTGGTGTGCCGGCGCCGCTAGGTGGAGGATTAGCCTATTGAGCCTTAGCACCAGCCGATTATCAGGTCTTAAAACTATTGCTATTATTTCATAGTGTTCTTTCAGCGAAACTAATCATGGACAGGAACTATGTTAAGAATGAAAGATACAAAACAAAAACCAGCCAAATGGACTGATAATTGGGAAAATCTGAGCTAAGGCTCCCAGGTCTCTTTGATCTTCAGTTTTGTGATCTAGTAAATGAAAATCTTGTGACTTGAAGTTAAACTAACGTACTGAAAATCTAAACGTTTAAGACATAATTATGGAGCTGTTAATACAAGGGACTATTTTACCTGCTTTAAAGTTTTTGTCTAAATCTGCTAATAAAATTATAGTATAGCATGGTTTTAGATTTGTATTCTTCAATACTATAGCTGCCAACCACACATATCTATTGAGAACTTGAAATGTGGCCTTGATCAGTGTATACTTAGGAAATGCAAAAGTAGGAAAGACTTTATTTGATGTCTTAAGAATTGCGATTCAGGAAACATAGATTCAGATAACTCCATCAGTGTTCCAAAGAAGACAAGAAAGCTGGGATCTTGTATAAGGAAACTATGTTCTTTTATTACAAAACAATAAAAATTGCTTTATGGGAAAATTTATATTGGAGTTGAAAATAGTGGCTATGAAATAGTGGCAGTATGATAGAAGATAAAGATAAGAATGCATATAATTTGGAGAATTTTCCCTAATCCATAGTCTAATAATTTCTTGCTATGCATCTTGGGTCACTGAGCACTGTATAATTATCGATTAGAGATGCCTACAGTCTCAGGGAGAAAGTGAACAAAGCTCACCTTCCTCAGGCAGCAGCTTGAATGGCGTCTAAGTCCTGCTTCCTTTAATGGCCTCCTGACTCCATTTTGAAAACCTCTTTGAATGTTGCTTTCATTATGATTTTTCCCTTTATTTTCACAGTGGTTGGTCTGAATTGAGATGACTGAAAGTGTAAAAATGACATAATTTGAGGACTTGATATTAGAATCAAATATATGAACTTATATTGATTACTTGTTGAAAAGATGCATTTTTTTTTGACAGGCAGAGTGGACAGTGAGAGACAGAAAGGTCTTCCTTTAACATTGATTCACTCTACAACAGCTGCTGCGGCCGGCACACTGCACTGATCCGAAGCCAGGAGCCAGGTGCTTCTCCTGGTCTCTGAAAAGATGCATTTTGATATATTGTGTTAAAATAGAATGTCCAAAGTAATTTCATTTTTTTAACTTTTTAATGTTTTTACCAGAGAATTTAAATTTACATATAGACTGCACTAGTCTAGATTTATGAGATACTCATGGAAGACAATAAGCAATGAGTGACATTGTATATACTATATATATTATAAAGAATCAGAGGGCCAGCGCCCTGGCTCACTTGATTAATCCTCCACCTGCGGCACCGGCATCGCATGTAGGCACCGGGTTCTAGTCCCGGTTGCTCCTTTTCCAGTCCAGCTCTCTGCTATGGCCTGGGAAGGTAGTGGAGGATGGCCCAAGTGCTTGGACCCTTGCACCCACGTGGGAGAGGAGGAAGCACTTGGCTCCTGGCTTCGGATCGTGTAGTTCCGGCCATGGCGGCCATTTGGGAGGTGAACCAACCGAAGGAAAACCTTTGTCTCTGTCTCTCTCTCACTATCTAACTCTGCCTGTCAAAAAAAAAAAAAAAAAAAAAAAAATCAGACTTGGCCAGTGCTGTGGCGTGGAAGGTTAAGCCTCCACTTGTGGTGCTACCATCTCCTGTGGGTGCCGGTTTGTGTCCTGTCTACTCCTCTTCTGATCCAGGTCTCTGCTTACGGTCTGGGAAAGCAGTAGAAGATGGCCCAAGTGCTTGCTTCCCTGCACTCACGTGGGAGACCCTGAAGAACTTCTTGCCTCCTGGCTTCAGATTAGCCCAGATTCAGCTTTTGCAGCCATCTGGGGAGTAAAACACTGAATGGAAGACCTTTCTGTCTTTGTTTCTCTCCCTCTCTGTGTAATTTTGCCTCTCAAATAAATAAATAAAAGTTTTTGCCTAGGCCAGTGTCTTGCACTGTTTTCTGAAGTAGTTTGATGGTTTCTGGATTTAGTTTAGATTCTTGATTTTGAATTTTTTTTCTTCTAAAGGGTCAAAGGTAAGGGTTTTGCTTCAAACTTCTGATGGAGGATCTCTGTTTCTTCCCCCTCTCTCTCCAACTTTGCCTTTAAAATAGATGAATAAATCTTTTTTTAAAAAAGTACTTACAAGGGCCACCACTTCCTATTTGGAAGTGGATAGAAGACTTTTCTCTCTGTCTCCTTCTCTCATGGTAACTCTACCTCTCAAGTAAATAAAATCTTTTTTTTTTTTTTTTTTTTTGACAGGCAGAGTGGATAGTGAGAGAGAGAGATAGAGAGAAAGGTCTTCCTTTGCCATTGGTTCACCCTCCAATGGCCGCCACGGCTGGTGCACTGTGGCCAGCGCACCGCGCTGATCCGAAGGCAGGAGCCAGGTGCTTCTCCTGGTCTCCCATGGGGTGCAGGGCCCAAGCACTTGGGCCATCCTCCACTGCACTCCCTGGCCACAGCAGAGAGCTGGCCTGGAAGAGGGACAACCGGGACAGAATCTGGCGCCCTGACCGGGACTAGAACCCGGTGTGCCGGCGCCGCTAGGTGGAGGATTAGCCTAGTGAGCTGTGGCGCCGGCCTTAAAATCTTTTTTAAAAAAAGAATCGGGGACTTTTAGTACAGGAACCACTTTTTGTATAAATTTTAATACTTTTTGCAGATTTGTGTTTTCCTCAGATCCTTGGAGAATTGTGATAACGTGAAGTTTTTATTTAAATTCAGGAGTTTGTGAACTTTGGATTTAGATTTTTAAAAAATACATGTTTTGGGAAAAATGTTAAATAGTATACTACTTTTAAAGGCTGTGAAGAATGTTAATTAGTGCCTAGTTCATTCACTGATTTTTTTTTAAGTTGTGGCTCTCCCATATTTGAGTTTAAATTTGTGTCGCGTCATATGTAATTGTGGAAGCCAGTGGAATATTCTCTGTGAGCCTAATTTTTTCCAATATTGTGCTACCCATAAATGTAAATTACATAATAAAGTCACTATAGATTTGTATTCATTAGAATGACTATTATTTTACTATGAATCTGTGGAGTTGCTAGAATACCAGTTAATCCCTTTTATATATGTTTTCTGTTTACTTTCTGTATCTTAACAGTAGCTTAAGGAAGATTTCTGTAAAATAAAAATGTTTTGAAAATTTAATTTCTCTTTTTGCAGATTTAAAAATCTAAAGAAAAATCAACATTTTCCCACATTTCACACAGTTGAGTCTCAAGTAAATCTCATTTCCTGATGTCGGAATTCTGCGTCCGTGCAGTAAGTACTTTGTATGATACAATAATATTCCAGGGGATGTGATGCTAGGTGACTGTTGGGTCTATAAAATCTTGATTTAAATTATGTCTTTAAAATTACATAGCTGTTCATTGTATAAAATAGTTTAGATATGGGCATTTATCTCTAATCCTGTGAATTTTCTTCGTGATCTGAGTGAGCAAGCAGGGGAGAGGCAGGTGAAGAGGCTGACTGACATCCACATAATAGGCTATTCTGTCTGCTTGATTAAGAATTTTTCTATAATGGAGCACCTTGGTGAGCATCATCATATGAGGCTTAAACTTTTCCTTTTTATGTGCCATCTCTTATAGGCTCAAGAATATTCCAGTTCTCCATAATTCTTTGTAATAAATGTTATTTCTCCTTCAGGGATTCCTAATAATCTGCAGAAACCATTAGCCATTGCTCATGAGTCTGGACATTTTCTTAATTCCAACAGTGTCATTTTGGGCAAAATGGGTGTCATGGCGGCTCTGTCTACTGGAAGATTTTCTTTTGTTTCTCAGGTGGGATGGGGGGAGGTGCCTCTACTGGGTTAGACTGTAGGCCTCATGTTTCTGGATGTTACTGAAATAAGGTAAGGGCTGTGTGTAAACTAGGCCCAGTTATTTTTCCAGGTGTGGTGTGAAACTCCCCATTAGGGCATTGGTTTTGTTTTAGACAGGATAATGGTGTGGAAGAGTAAGCCTCTGATACTTTGAGGACTTGTTCCTGCAACTTTCTCGTGCCTTTGGGCTTTTCTGGCTTGTACCGTATATTCTTCCTACATTTAATGAAGGACTTTTCCTTTTATTTTCCCTTTATTCATTTAATGAAGGAGTCCTGCTGGCTACATCTTTTTATTCCTGACATAAGATGGCATGGTTCCTGGGAAATTTGTTCACTTTTCCTTTTCAGTTTACCCAGTTGAATGGTCACAGGAGTCTTTAGGAGAAAGCAAGGAAAATGTTTTTGATATCCAGTGGAAGATACTGGTCTGCCCTTTCTATGAGGAATTACAGGTCGATAAACAAACTGGCCTGGGAATTGGGTGAAAGCCTGTGACTTTAAATAAAGAAGACTTAAGAAGGGCCTTCAGCACTGAAGTCTTCGCTGTATTCTAGTGAAAGTATTTAGTATTGTCCATTGATTTTATTCCATGAGGTCAGGTAAGCATACTGAGAATCTGTTGATTCGACCATGCTGATTACCGCACAAGTTAATTACCTAGGAGAAAGTAAAAACCATAGGCGGTACCCAGATGCCCCCAACTCTCATTTCTTCCTACAAGTTTCTAGTATCCTGTTTCAGTTTGTGGACTTGGGTTTTCAGTGCTAGAAAGGGCTTCTTTTCTGATCTTTCATCTCATTTTGAGATAACATTTATACCTTGATCAGATTTATGTTCCTGTTCCACATACTCCTTTAATCTTTCTATTATTTCCTTATGAGTTTTGTGTGTTATGTCAAAAATATCTAATATTTATTTTAGATTCACTTTCCCATTGTAGTGTTGAATTTCTTATGTGTGTGTAGTTCTTCCTAATTTCAGATGTTGTATCGTCATGACTACTTAATCCTGTAAAAGTGCATATTCCTTTTTGGGAACAGGAATCAAATTTTTGAAATATAATTCCTTGCTGTTTTCTTTCTTTTCTTTTTTTTTTTTGACAGGCAGAGTGGACAGTGAGAGAGAGAGACAGAGAGAAAGGTCTTCCTTTGCCGTTGGTTCACCCTCCAATGGCCGCCGGGGCCGGCGTGCTGTGGCCCGCGCACTGCGCTGATCCGATGGCAGGAGCCAGGTACTTCTCCTGGTCTCCCATGGGGTGCAGGGCCCAAGCACTTGGGCCATCCTCCACTGCACTCCCGGGCCACAGCAGAGAGCTGGCCTGGAAGAGGGGCAACCGGGACAGAATCCGGCACCCCGACCTGGACTAGAACCCGGTGTGCTGGCGCCGCAAGGCGGAGGATTAGCCTATTGAGCTGCGGTGCCGGCCCGCTGTTTTCTTTCAATACATTTATTCCTAGAGGGAGCAAGTCCTCAATTTTTTTTTAAAGTGGGTTCTCTTTTTCTTTTCAATGTTCAGTATTTTTCTTTATTATTCTCATAGAAACATGTTGATCAACTGTTAACTTAGAGTCAAGGAAAAGTTTAGCTGTGTTCCGTCACAGTGGATACTGACTGTTGCTGGGACTCTTCGTGAATATTTGCCTTTCCAGTTTTAGAATCCCCCAAGTGTGGAGATTAGCCGTGTAGAGGACTTTGCCCATATGCTGCTTCTTCCTCTTTTCCATTTTTGTTTTATGCTCTCGACAAGTCCTAGATGTATATAACCTACTTTAGCATGCTTTCACTTAGTGGTGTCCAGGATTCAGCCTATTGCCCTCAATGAAGGAGAATCTAGGCAAAATGGATGTGATGGCAGGTCTGTGTACTATCGAAGATTCACTTTTGTTTCTCAGGCAGTGGGCCTCCCCTGGGTTAGCATGCATTGCCTCAGCAATGTATTTTTGGTTGTTACTGGCATTAGGTGAGGCTGTGTGTAAAACAGACTCAGATATTTTCCGCTTTGGTGTGAAACTTCCTGTGAGTTCATTTGTATTGCTTGAAAAAGGGATAAAAGTGTGGAAGAGTGGGCTTCTGATAGTTAAAGTAAATCATTCCTACAACTTCCTTGTGTTTTGGGGATTTCTTGGCTTGTACTGCATATACTACTTGTATTTAATGAAAGAGTAGTGCTGGCTACAATGATGCTGATTCTTTGCAAAGTCAAAGAAAATAGGGAATGCAAACATGGTGCTGCCTTGTCTCACCATCTGCCCTTCTAGTATTCATTGCATATCACTTTGAATTATGAATTGTTAGGAGTAATCTGCATGTGAGAAAGTGGTGTTCTCTCGAGAGAGGAGAAGGTGCCCAGTGTGCCTTATTTGCCCCCTTCCATGATGCAACATCTGTCCAGTATCAAATAGAAATTTGTTGAACTTTCTAGAAAAGGTTGTTCTTCTGCACTTTCTAGTAATACTGCATATTCACTCTGCCTTTACAAAATGTTTCCTTATTTCAGTGGGAATTTAAAAAAAATGTAGAGGCAGTGAACAGATTTTACTGATCTCACCAACATCTCCATTATGTATAATTTTTATCAGTGTTTAATTAGATGAAAATACAGGTATAGAACTATTTTAAAAAGGCTTATGTTCACTTATCAAATTCAAATAAAGCTAGTTAAATTTAATTTTGACAGCTGTCTGTCCAGAAGCTAATTAGTACTTATTTTCTTTTTAGAAAATGGAGTCTACATCTCAATTACCAACAGCTTTAGATATGGATCTGACAATATCACATATTGAATGCCTTCCCAAAGATGTTCTCGTGAAATTTCAAGGCAGAAATAATAGTGAATGTGAGTTTGACTACCACATATTGCAGAGGGAGATACAGCATAGTCCAAAAGTAAAAAATAATGTGGCTGTTGATGAACTTTGTCTGGTGGAAGAAAGAGTATCTGGAGAATGGCAGAGGGGAAGAGTTGTGGAAAAGAAAAATGAACTCTACACAGTGCTCCTCATAGATCGTGGAGAAGAACTAAGAGTAGATAGTACACAGATTTCTTCAGCATGTGCCAGTTTATTTGAGTTGCCACCACGAGTGGTATTTGGTATTTTTGCCAACATACTACCAAGTGGGGAAAAATGGTCTCCTAAGGCTTTAAATTATTTCAAGTCATTAGTGGGAATGCAAGTGCAAGGTTACGTTCAAGCTATTTTGCCTCTGCAAATGATTCTTCTTGAAGTGCCAAAAATTATATCCCAGGCTCTTGAATTACAATTTGGAAGATTTATTGATGAAGATTCATTTCATCTTGTTGTGGAAATGTTGAAAGAATTCCCTCAACAAAGGCCAGATTTGATACAACATAAAAGGCCTGAATTGTCCTTAAGTAATAATGATAGTTTACTTGATATTCAGCACGTTCTGGGTAATTTGCAGCCATCTTTGTCAGTAGGAAGTACTGAAAGTGTGAAGGTATCATCTGCGTTAAGTCCGAGTAAATTTTATTGTCAGTTAATTAGATGGATACCAGAGCTGGAAAACTTGACAGTGTGTATGACTTTGCATTATGATATAATCAGTCAAGAAACCAGCCCCACTTGTGATAATTTTGGACTACTTTGTGTTGCCAAAAGGAGAAATGGGCAGTGGCATAGGGGGATTCTCCAGCAGCTCTTGCCCAGGAACCAAGTGAAAATTTGGTTTATGGATTATGGCAGTAGTGAAGCTATACCTTCAATCCATGTAAAGAAACTTAAACAGGATTTTATTTCAGTACCACTATTTTCTTTCCCATGTTCTCTGACATGTTTACACAGTCCAGATAGAGAAGAAAGAAAATTTCAACTGAGTGTATTTAAACAAGCCCTATTAGGACAGGTAGTGTATGCACATATTGATTGGTTCAATAAGGATGAGCATATGTATTATGTGACATTACAAACTCAAGAGTCTACAATTAATTCTCAGTGTCAGCTGAAGACTGGCACACAAGTAATTTGTCCAGTCTCTGATTCAAATTCCTCCAGTATCTTGCATAAGACAAGTGTATCTGATGTGGACAGCTTTGCAGTTGAGAGTCATTTTGGAAATTGTGAACAGTTGATAGACTCTCTAAACAACAAAGACATTTTTAAAGTAGGCTTTTCTATTAAAACTGTAGAAATGGAGATAGAGGCTACTTACATAGCTTTTGTTGCATATGTATTAAACCCATCAAATTTCTGGGTACGTACTAATGACCATCAGACTGAATTTCAAGATATAATGAAAAATATAAACAAATTTTATGATTTATGTGAAAATGATGAACTGATTCTAAGAAATCCTGAGCCTGGCTTATTTTGTTGTGCTAGATACAGTAAGGACAGACATTTTTACAGAGCTGTCATCACTGAAATTAGTGGTTATAAGATTAATGTTTATTTTTTAGATTATGGAAATACTGATTCCATACCATTTTTTGATGTAAAAATTTTGCTTCCAGAATTTTGTGAGTTGCCTGCCTTAGCCATGTGCTGTTCACTTGCACATGTGTTTCCTATTGAGGATTTATGGGTGAAAGCAGCAATAGATTATTTTAAAAAAATTGTTTTGAATAAAGCTATTTTGCTTCAAGTCATAGCCAAAAAAGATGACAAGTACACTGTAAAGATTCAGAGTATCGAAGCCTCAGAAAATATTGATGTTGTTTCTCTTATGCTACAAGCTGGATATGCAGAATATTGGGAAGTAACACCAGAGTGTTTTCCAAAATCTGTAAGTGAATATTCAATGTTAAGTTTAAAATCTAAAAACCAAGTTAATATTAAAAAAGTTGTATCTGCTCTTCTTGAGGTACCTACATCTAAAATATACCCTTCAGATAAGCTAGAAAAAAATAACTTGTCTTTGTCAAAGTACCCAACTGTTCATGACTCAGATTTAAAAAATTCTTTCACCACCTCTCAGGGCCCTGAATCGTCATGGCCTTATAAAGAATATATGTTTAAACCAGGGACAAGCCTTGAAGTTAAATGTTCTTACTACTGTGGCCCAGATGATTTTTCATGCCAGCTCCAGTGTAAATTAGAAGACCTAAAGTTACTAATGGAACAAATTCAGAATTATTATAGCATCCATTCTGATCCTTATCAAATTGGGCAGATTGCTTGTGTTGCTAAGTATTCCAAAGATGGGAAGTGGTATAGAGCTGCTATTTTGACTCAGGTGTCAAAAAATGAAGTTGATATAATATTTGTTGACTATGGTTACCAAGAAAGAGTTTTAATCAAAGACCTTTGTGCTATTAACCCACGCTTTCTTTTATTAGAAGGCCAAGCCATTAGGTGTTGTCTTAACCATTTAGTTGAGCCCGTTAGTTGTAAATTGTTCCTTTGGACAAGAGAAGCATCCAAAGACTTTGAAAATTTTATTTTTTCATCTGGAGGATTATTGACTTGCATTATCTATGCCTTAGTTTTTATACACCCAAACTGTTTGTGTAATTTAGTGGATTTACAATCACAATCCTCCTTCACTAGTGCAAAAGAATTTCTTATTAGTCGTGGCTCTGCACACTATAGCACATCACCAAAGCCTCTTCCACCTTCAGTTAGTCTTTATAGTTACTATTATTCTTCCTTTAATTTAAAAATTGGAAGTGAAGAAGAAGTATATATATCTCATGTATATAGTCCCAAAAAGTTTTATTGTCAACTTAGTAGAAATAATAAAGATCTAGAGATGTTAGAAACAAAAATCTCAGAAATTATTAACCTCAAAAAATGTCCAAAATATGATTCTAGTAAAATGAGATTGTGCATATCTAAGTATGTAGAGGATGGTCTTTCATATAGAGCACTAGCAATGCCAACAGATTCATCATCTGACTTTCTAGTCTATTTTGTGGACTTTGGAAATAAGCAATTAGTAGAAGAAAATATGCTGAGTGCCATTTCAGATCAGTTTCCAGAGCTGCTGTTTACACCTATGCAAGCCATTAAGTGCTTTCTGTCAGATCTTGGAGATGTGGATATTCCATCAGAAATCAGTGGCTGGTTTGAAGATAGTTTCTTGGGAAAACCATTGAAGGCAGTCATCTTGTCTAGGGAGACAGATGGGCAGCTTGGTATAGAATTGTATGATGGGTGTCAACAGATAAATCAGAAAATTAAAATGTGGCTTCATACTTACAGAAAAAAACAATCTGTCCAAGCACATGGTATGGAGAAGGCTCATAAAATGAGTGAGAATAAGGCACTTGCTGCTTCATTGAAAGATAAAATAGAAAGCAACTATCACCATCATATGATAAATAAAACTAGTCTAGTAACATATTCTGATAACAAAATAGATCAGGTAATGCAGCCAAATAGTGTGCATGCTAGGTTTTTGAAACCGCCCGTTTGCTATAAAATTGAAACTATGTCCAGAAACAAAATGAAGAAATCTTTGAATGATGGACTTAAAAATAAAGGTATAAAAATTGTCCCTGGATCTGCACATATTATTGATGAAACTGATGTGGGACAAAAATCGGTAAAGGTTGTGTCATCATCTTTTATCAGAGAGTTGAATCAGGCAGCCTCACAAAACTTATGTAGCCTTGTTAGACCACAGATCAAAGACCTTCCTCAGCCTCACATTTACGTAAATTCCAAAGTTAAGGGATATGTGTCTAATATCAGTAATCCAGCAAGTTTCCATGTTCAGCTTGCTCAAAATGAAAGCTTGATCATCAGACTTGCAGATGCTCTAAATGAAAGAAGAACAAATAGAGGGAAGAAGAGAAAATCGGTCAAACCTTTGGTGGGAGATCTGGTGGTTGCAGAATACTCTGGTGACAATGCTATTTATAGAGCAGTTATTAAAAAAATCTTGCCAGCTAATTCTTTTGAAGTGGAATTTATTGACTATGGTAATACTTCAGTAGTACACATATCTAAAATTTATGAACTTAAGAGAGAATTCTTAGCTATTCCTCCCCTAGGAATCCATTCCTTTCTTAGTGGAGTAAAATGGAATGAGCCTGATGAAATTTGGGACAGCAAAACTGTGGACTATTTCGCCTCAAGAGTGAATAACAGAATCATTTCTTGTGAATTTTTGAAAAAATGTGAGCAGAAATGGGAAGTAAATATAATTTGTGATGAAAAATGCGTCATCAATGAACTACTGAAATGGACAGCGTGTTCAAAACTACAGAAGACAGTTTTGCCTGTGCCTCAGATTGTCTCTCAGAAGGTGAACCCTGGGGATAATAATGAAACGAAGAAAGGAAGATCAAATGAATGTGCAGGTTCTGTGATCCCTCAACCATCCTGCCAACAGCCGGTTCAAATTCCCTTTGAAGAGTTAAAACCTGGGCAACTTGAAAAAGCTGAAATACTTTATGTCTCAAAAAGTGGAAGATTTTATGTGAAGTTATCCAAAAATAAAAAAATATTTTCAGATTTAACTGTGTTAATTACAAAAGAAGAAAATAACCCTTTTTTATCAATACAAAATATTGAAAAAGGCTTGGAATGCTTGGCAAAATCTAAGAAATCCTTGAAGTGGTACCGATCAAAAGTAGAAGAAAAGTATGTTGATGAAAAGGTGCTTGTTTTCTTAGTAGACAGTGGTAGGTATGAAATAGTGCCTTCATACAATACCAAGGCGCTCAGTGATGAAATCAGAAATATTCCAAGACAAGCTGTGCCTTGTAAGTGGATTTGGTTTGAAAATTCTAAGAACATACAGTTTGAGTCCACTATGTTTTTATTTGCTCATTTGGAAATAAAAATTCTTTTTCTGAAATATTCGGACTCTGCTTGGGAAGTAGAAATTTTGATAGATGGCATTTTGCTTTTGGAATATGTAAACCTGAATACTGCTCAGGTTGAAGAAAACAAACATCGCACTTCAGGAATTGTGTTCAACACAGAATCGCAAACTTCTGAGTCATCATGTGCGATAAGATCATTTACCTGGGCACAACTTCAGAATGGTAGACAATATTCTGGTATTGCTACTGCTGTTACTGATCCAACAGACTTCTGTGTTCAGCTAGAAGATTTTTTTGACACAATGAAATGTATCTTTATGTTGCTTTCTGATCTACCAGAAACATTACCAAGCTTGCCTCCAGAGCACATAATTCCTGGTTGTACTTGTTTGTTCAAATATGAATTGGAAGATCAGTGGACTAGAGTCGAAATCTGTGCTGTGTCTGATAGGTCTTTACATCTTATGTTGATTGACTATGGGCTTTCTGTTTATATACCTTATTCAGATACAATACATCTTAAAGTTGTTCCTGAGGAACTTTTGAATTTGCCAAGGCTAAGTTATCCATGTATCTTACATGGCATCTTACCTGCTAAAAGCAGACACTGGGATGATGAAGCCCGAAGGTTTTGTCAAGATTACCTAAGTAAACCAGGCCTAGTTTTTCAGCTAAGAGAATATAGTTTTCAAACAAAACTGAAAGTAGATGTCATTCATGAGGAAAACAGTTTGGCAGATCTATTAGTTGCATCTGGTCTCGCAGTGTATTCTAAAGATTCAGCTAATATTGATGCAGTTACTGCTACTGAATCTACTGAAATCCAATATAAATTCCAGACTGATGTTATTTGCCCATCGTTAGATAAAAATCATTTTGAAGGAGAAAATATAAATTGTATATGCACTGAGAAACAAAAACTGAGAAAACAGAAACTGACAAAGAGGAAAGACACGTATAATAGCCTTTTAAGGAAAAGTCATGTTAGTAAAAGATTACATTTTCGGAATTTTACCGTGAGAAAAGAAGGTGGTTGTGAGAACTATAATCCCCAAAGTGCCATCCCGTTTGATGCATGTGCAGCTGCTGCATTTTGGATGCTGCCGGATAGCTCGAAGCCTAACACCAGTTGCTTTGAAAACACCTTTGCAAAACTACCAAGTGAAGGAATGCAGGAAGATAGTAGCGCAGTGGACTTGAGGACAACAGTAGAAGTGTTGCATGTTAAAGAAAAAATTACGTCAGAAGAACATTTAAAAGGTAAGTGGCTGTTTTTTTAAAGTTGATTTTTTTTCCTGTTGATTCTTTAAAGTTTTTCATGTAGTGAACTTCTCCAAACTGAAAATATACTAAAGCTTACTATAAAATCTGAACAAATTAATAAACTGGGAAAGATCACTTGGATCATAAAATGTTTATCATTACCCTTTCAGAATATAGCAAAATAGAGAGATTTAACCACACATGCATAGGAACATTTTAAAAATAACTTCCAAGGTTTCACCAGACTGTTGAGGTTTATAGATTTCAGATTAATAAATCTTATTAGTGAGCTTCCTGGGCTCATTTGAAGGATCCATTTTCTGTTATATCAATTTCATAATTCATGTTGCAGATGAAATATATCTTAATTCATTTTGTTTGTATTTCTAGCTAAATTTATAAAATACGATGTATTTTCTCCTAAACTTGTTACATGTCAAGGTTATCTTAAATATTGTTAAATTTTAATATTTTATGCACTGTAGGATTGTCTGATTTTGCTTTGTACATTATATTCATTTTGTGTGGCTTAGTTGAGGATTTTGTAGGCTACAAATTATGACTAAAATATGTTCTGACTTTATAAATATAACTAGTATTCCATATTATCACAAGCATCATAGCTAATTACAGTCCTTTTAGTAAATGAATGTCTTTTCTTTAGTACTTGTTCAAAAGTATTTCATATGTATTCATATTTAGATGTTTTATAGTAAACTGATAAATGCTTTAAATTTGGCCTCTTTTTTTCCCTAACTTTTGCATCTTTCATTATTTTAACAGCAGTTCTGGTAGTAATGGAAGCAGCTATTAAGTTTTGAGTGCTTACTGTTTTTCAGGAACTGTGCTAAGAGTTTTATATTTATTACATAGTGCTTACCAAACTCTATGATGTGGGTTGATATTGAAGTTTAAATGGAGCTCAATAACTAGTACCCTACTTTGCCTGAGTTCTAAGTCACGTTAGAGGGAGCAAGTATAAAGAAAGTTGTTGAGCAAAGTGTCACATTTCTAAAATAGAGCAAAAATAATAAGAATGTGGCTTATGTTCATGGGCAAATGGGCTTACCAGTACTGAATTAGGAATTATTTAGACTTACATAAATGCAGGTGTGTATTCATATTGGGGCTTACCCATGTAAAACTTATAGCTTGAGTTCTACTATCCAAAAAAGAAATAGATGAGAATGAGGCTAATCTAACATACTTTTCTCCTTCCAAATGGTCCTATTAGATTGCAGCTATTCCTGGAAGCACGAGTAAGGGAGAAAAGAGACCAAATGTGTTATGCTAGGAGAGGAATGTGCTAGCCACGAGGAATGGGGAAGAAGCATCTCCCTGACAGTTGCTATCATGTTAGGGATGAAGCTCAGGGACATATCTTACTCATGGATATAAATCTCGTAATGGGGCTAAGGTTTTAAAAACCAGTTGTCTCTTTCTTATTATGTAAACTGCCTTTTGAAAAGTACTTGGAATGCTAGAGGAAGAGTTTTCCATAAACTTTTGACCACCAAACCATACATTGTGCACCTCGTATAATTTCTTTATTGTTCCTCTATTTGTGTGTATTTCTACTTTCTTTGTCTTTAAAGAGAAAATTTATGAATTTTATGAAATTGTGAAATTTTATGACATGTCTAAGAACTCACTTTTGGTCCCAATCTCCATATTCTAGCGCTCCTAGCACCAAATAAATCATAAATGAATTAAAGTGAAAGTAGCTATTAGAAAAGCAGTTAGAGGGGATGGCGCTGTGGCATAGCACGTAAAGCCGCCTCCTGCAGTGCTGACATCCCATATAGGTGCCAGTGTGAGTCCCAGCTGCTCTACTTCTGATCCAGCTCTCTGCTATGGCCTGGGAAAGCAGTAGAAGATGGCCCAAGTCCTTGGGCCCCTGCACCTGCGTGGGAGACCCGGCGGAATCTCCTGGCTTCGGATCAGCACAGCTCTGGCCATTGTGGCCAATTGGGTAGTGAAACAGCAGATGGAAGACCTCTCTCTCTCTTTGTGCCTCTCTTTCTTTCTCTGTGTAACTGACTTTCAAATAAAATAAATCTTAAAAGCAGTTAGAGAATCAAACATTAAATTTGCTTCCAAAAATACTGAATTTCCCATTTACAGAAAAATCTGATTGATATATTTTTTAAATTTTTATTTATTTTTTTGACAGAGTGGATAGTGAGAGAGAGAGACAGAGAGAAAGGTCTTCCTTTTGCCGTTGGTTCACCCTCCAATGGCCACTGTGGCCAGCGCGCTGCGGCTGGCGTACTGCGCTGATCCGATGGCAGGAGCCAGGTACTTATCCTGGTCTCCCATGGGGTGCAGGGCCCAAGCACTTGGGCCATCCTCCACTGCACTCCCGGACCACAGCAGAGAGCTGGACTGGAAGAGGGGCAACCGGGACAGAATCCGGCGCCCCAACCGGGACTAGAACCCAGTGTGCCGGCGCCGCTAGGCGGAGGATTAGCCTAGTGAGCTGCAGTGCCGGCTGATTTTGATATATTTTAAGAACATGATTTCATAGATTGTTTATATACTTGCTGTAACAATAATTTTAAAACAAAATAAGAAAACACAAAAGTTATATAGCTCCTACCATCTTTATTGTTCCTTCAAGGACTGTAGTGGTTCTTGCTGTTGCTACTATTACTCTATGCAGGTTTTCAGAGTCTAGCGAAATTTACTGTAGCCATTTCTTTAGATTGAAGACCTCAGTATTTGAAGCTCTCCTGCTTAGTTAAAAATATAGAAAAGAGTCTTTAATATAGTGCTTTCCAACCTGAGTTTTGCATTGGAATTAACAAAGGAAGCTTTATATAATTTGGGGCAGACATTATATTTTGTGGTTAAGATGCTCATGTTCCATATCAGAGTACTTTTGGTACCATACCGAACTCTGGTTCCTGACTCCAGCTTCCTGCTAATGCAGACCCGAGGTTATAGCTCAAGTAACTGGATTCCTGCCACCCTGTGAGAAAGACTTGAGTTCCCAGCTTTGGCATCTGGGACGTGAATTAGCCAGTGGGGGAGCATGGTTGATGTCTGTCTTCCTCTCTTTCTTTGACAAATAATTTAAAATATTCTGATTATTGGATACCTCTTTCAGATATTAAATTTTAATTTATCAAGGGCATGGTTTTGCCATTTTTTAAATTAAATAATTTATAACTTATTTTTTAAGAGGTAGAAAGAATACGCTCTCAGGGTTAGCAGGAAGCTGGAGTCAAGAGCCAGAGCCAGACACTTAACCAAGGTACTCTGATGTGGGATGCACACATCTTTCTCTTTTCCTTCCTCTTCCCTCTCTTCCCTCTTTCCTCTTCCTAATTGAAAGGCAGAGTTACCGGGAGGCAGAGGGGGGGAGAGAGGTCTTTCGTCTGTTGGTTCACTCCCCAAATGGGCCAATCTGAACCCAAGAGCTGACAACTTCAGGTCTCCCACACAGGTGCCGGGGCCCAAGGACTTGGTCCACACAGGTGCCGGGGCCCAAGGACTTGGTCCATCTTTTACCGCTTTCCCAGGCCATAGCGGAGAAGCTGGATCAGGAGTGGAGCAGCTAGGACTCAAACTGGTACCCATATGAGATGCTGGCACTCCAGACTAAGGCTTTCCACACTGTGCCACAGTGCCAGCCCCGGGATGCACACGTCTTAACTTCTAGACCAATGCTTGCCCAACCATTAGAATATTGGTCATTGAGTGATTTGTTTTTAAAGATTTATTTTTATTTATTTGAAAGACAGAGAGGTAGAGACAGAGGTCTTCCATCTGCTGGTTCACTCCTCAGATGGCCTCAACAGCTGTAGCTGCGCCTATTGGGAGCCAGGAGCCAGGAGCTTTTTCCGGGTCTCCCATGTGAGTGCAGGGGCCCAAGGACTTGGGCCATCTTCTACTGCTTTCCCAGGCCACAGCAGAGAGCTGGATCAGAAGAGGAGCAGCTGAGACTAGAACCGGCACCCATATGGGGTGCTTGCGCTTCAGGCTGGGGCATTAACCTGCTACACCACAGCACTGGCCCAAGTGATTTTAATGTATAGGCAATTTTGAGAATCACTGATCTAGACACTATTGTGCATAACTTCCTGAATTATTTTATGAGAGAAAAATAATTATTTTGGACTTCCTTTGTGAAAGGTTTTAAATCTATTCTATATTCAGAGTGTAGATTTTACTAATAGTGTGTTGTACTTCTGGGCCAAAATTTATTCAGAATAAATGTAATAGTAAGCATATCATCATTCTAGAAATGTCCTAGATTTATTATGTATTTCTTTTGTCCATGTATTCCTGTAATTATAGAAATTGCTTCCTTTTCATTGAAAAAATTGGCTTAACTTTCCCATAGGTTTTCTTTTTTTTTTTTTAAAGATTCATTTTATTTATTTGAAAGATAGAGTTAGAGAGGTAGAGACAGAGAGAGGTCTTCCATCTGCTGGTTCACTCCCTAGATGGCTGCAATGGACAGAGCTGCACCGATCCGAAGCCAGGAGCCAGGAGCTTCTTCCGGGTCTCCCATGTGGGTGCAAGGGCCTATGGACTTGTGCCATCTTCTACTGCTTTCCCAGGCCATAGCAGAGAGCTGGATCGGAAGAGGAGCAGCTGGGACTAGAACTGGCATCCATATGGGATGCTGGTGCTTCAGGCCAGGGCTTTAACCTGCTGCACCACCGCACCAGCCCCCCATAGTTTTATAACATTTCAGTAATTAAATATTTAAGGTAATAATTTTATTCAAAGACTATTTTTTGAATAAAACTTGCCTCTAGTCTTTTTTTTTTTCAGATTTTCTTCTTTTTAATTGCTTGTTTGTGTGTATTTATGTGATTGTTCTTGACCTGACGTTTTAATAGAGGTAGTTAGAACTAGAAGAATGTAGCCATTAAAAAGGACAAACTTATCTGGTCACTTTTTAAAAATTTAAACTTACCTTAAAATTTTTTAGGTAATATTTTCAGTTTACATTATATTCAAAGGTTTAATGCTCCACTAAATAA